AACAATAATCATCCAATAAAAATAATACAGATGATACAACAGTGATTGGTCTCATTCGAGAAAACGACCAATCCACATACAGACGGCAGGTTGTACAACTTGCCTTGTGGTGTAACCAGAACAATCTGGAACTGAACACACTTAAAACCATAGAAATAGTAATAGACTTTAGGAGAAACCCTCCCATACCATCACATCTTACAATACTAGACAACACAGTATCAACAGTAGAGACCTTTGAATTTCTAGGTTCTATCATATCACAAGACCTAAAATGGACACCTAACCTCAAAAATGTCATCAAAAACGCACAACAAATAATGTTCTTTCTGTGCCAACTCAGAAAGCTCAAACTGCCCAAGGAGCTGCTAATACAGTTCTATAGAGGAATTATTGAGTCTGTCATCTGTCCCTCTATAACTGTCTGGTTTTGTTCTGCAACCCAACAAGACAGACACAGACTTCAGAGAGTAATTAGGACTGCAGAAAAAATAATTACTACCAACCTGCCTTCCATTGAGGACCTGTGTACTGCATGAGTCAAAAGAGGGCTGTTAAAATGTTTACAGATCCCTCACATCCCGGACATAAACTGTTTCAACTCCTTCCCTCAAAAGAACACTACAGAGCACTGCACACCAGAACAACTAGACACAAGAACAGTTTTTCCCCGAATGCCATCACTCCGCTAAACAAATAATTCCCTCAATGATGTCCAACTATTTACAAAGTCTGTATTACTATTATTATTAATCTTCTCATCACTCCTTATCACCCATCCCCTCCCACTTGTGACTGTATGACTGTAACTTTGTCGCTGGTATCCTTACGATTTATATGGACTGTTTTCTAGTATGATTTGATTGCTTATTGTACCCTGTGACTATCATTACTTGTTGTACGTTATAATTCTTGACTCTTGACTTACATTAGTCATCTTTTCTTTTATGTACCCTGAGAGCATTTGCACCAAGACAAATTCCTTCTGTATCCAATCACACTTGGCCAATAAAAGAATTCTATTCTATTCTATTCTAATCATCCAATGTTGGGTTCTTTAAGTGGTCTCAGCCAAGCCATGCCATCTCCTGAGGCTTCCCCTGAGCAGAGATGGGTGGTGAAACAACGGCAGGGCTCCTATTGTGTCGTAACACTATGTGTTGGCAAAAGGAATTTCTCCTGGAAACTGGTCTTTCTGCCTTCAGCAGATTGCCTGCCTTTCAGACCTCAAAGCAAAATAAATCGGGCAGGCAAGTCTCTCGGCTCCTGGTGGTTTCTGGAAGCCTTCCCAGCTCTTAACCAGAGGCCCACCCTGGAAGGGAAGCGGGCGTGAGACACAGTAGCGCAACGGTGTCTTCCATGAGAATGTTGTGGAGAATTGATTCCCTGAAAGCTTTCCCCCTGTGGCTCCATTTTCAAAACCACCCAGCCTTTCCCTCGCTTGGCCCTGCCACCAGATTTGCCCGTTTAGCTGGGCTTGGCAACCGATGCCATGGCTGTTCGGGCAAAAAACGCAGGACAGGTAGTCCTTGACTTACGACCACAACTGAGCTCCAAATTTCTGCTGAAACATAAGAGTCCTGATGTCCTTTGCACAATTTCTTTCCAGCATCCTGTTGGTTTGAAAAGATGAAAGGGGCTGAGTGCTTTTTAGCTCAGATGCCTGTAAGCCCATCCAGGCCAGAGTGATGGTCTGGAACCTGTGCTTGGTGCATTATTTTTCTTTTAGTCTTAACCGTGTCCACTCTGGGAGCCATTTGGTGAGACATACTTGTGGCCTCACTTGGGTGGACAAATTATTAAACTATTTGCCACTAATTTGAAAGTGACAAATAAAAATATGTGCCTGTTAATAAAATTTGTTAGTTTGAAAAGTAGCTAACAGATTCTTCTGAAAGAGAAGAAAACAACTTTAAATAGAGAGAACCATATGAATATTTCAATCATTGGAACCCGAGGATAGCTAGTTGCAGATGTTTACGGCAGCCCTGGGTAATTTAGCAACATTACCTATAATACAAATCTTGTTATCTGATAAAAGAAAATTATTATTTTGTAGAATTCATCAGACTGATCTGGAATGTGTAACAACAAAGGAGAAATTAGGCTTTTTCAGCTATTGTTTGTTTATTTCCTATCCTGTTCTGATTTGATTCAGATCTTAATCAAAAAAAGCAGTAGCACTGCCTGAATCTGTAGCAAAGGAAACCCCTGAATTGATAAAGAAGAATATCTGTAGCTCAGAGCAGGGGTGGGATTCAAATTTTTTAACAACTGGTTCTGTGGGCATGGCTTCAGTGGTGGGCATGGCTTAGATGGTCATGTGACTGGGTGGGCATGGCTTGGTGGTCATGTTACTGGCTGGGTGTGGCCTACTCAATGTCATTCACATCGAGGCACACATCTCCTCGCCTGGCCTCTCATGACTGGGGATGCTGCAACAGTCATAAGTGTGAAAAACAGTCATAAGTCACTTTTTTCAGTGCCATTGTAACTTTGAATGGTCACTCCACACAAGCAAAGTACCAGCAAAGGAGGGGGAAAAAACTCCAGAGAAGTTCCTGAGACAGGAAGTCTAGTCCTGCCAAGAATGTAATAAGGGTTAACGGAGAGGCAGTTTCTGTAAGCAACACCAGAATGTTTCCTTCCTGCCTTCCTTACAGGATTAGGCCAGTAATTTCTTCTAACAACTGGTTCTCCGAACTGCTTAGAATGTTAACAACCGGTTCTAGTGAATAGGTGCGAACTGGTAGAATCCCACCCCTGGCTCAGAGTTGAAATGAAGGCTCCTCAGTGCTCTCTGAGTTTGGTTGTATTTATGCAGATGTTTCATTACCCAAACTAGGTAACATCATCAGAGCACCTGTGGCAGAAAAGGTCATTCAATGAGGCAACTCACTTAACAATTGTTTAGCTTGTTAATGGAAATTTTGGCCTCAATTGTAATCATAGGTTGAGGACTATCTGTATCTAAAGCAATAACAAAGGAACATTCAAAGCAGCCCCACAACCAATCAGCTTGGATTCATTCCATGTCTCAGAGAACCTGCAACCAGCTTCTAAATCCTTCTATCAGCAGAGAAGCTCTGAACAAATTCACACAGGAGCAGTAAGAGGTGCTAAAGGCAACACACACACACACACACACACACACACACACACACACGTACTGCCCACAAACTGGATCCAGGACCCAAAGCGAAATAAACATGGATGTCTATAATTTACACCAATTAATTTTGGTGATGAAACTGGTTGTCTGCCAGTCTGAATCCGAAATAAAGATAACTCTATTCAGACTGCAGACTGATTTGCGTCAGAGAAGGCAATTTTTTTCAAGTTGGCATTTTTTTTTCATATGATGTTATGCTGCAAAATTTTTTCACTTCCTGCCTGCACGGCTACCAATGCCCTGGCCGAGAAGGAGAATTGGAACCCTGCACATTTGGAAATGGAAAGTACCAATGTGAAGAAGGGATTGAATTCTTTGACAGAGCCTGCGAGTCGCTTCGTTGGTTGATTGGTTTGCAGGTACATTGGTTTGAACTGGCCTACACAATAGATTTTGTGTCGTTCTTTGCTATTTCTAAAATACCATCTTTTCTTTTCCACCTCAAATAATTAAAAAAAAAAAAAACCTAGTAGCTTTGAAGTAAGCATCAGTTCAGTTAGGAAAATTTATATTCAGGAGGTTTTTACCAAGTTGCTTTTCAGATGTATATCATTCATGGTATAATATCAGCAGTCTATACAGTAAGATGGTCCTGTGGGGGTCTAGGACAACTTGCTGTGGCCAACTTGCTGTGGGACAATTCACCACAGCCAACTCACCATCGCCAACACGCTGAGTGGGACCACTTGTTGTGGCCCGCAGGCTAGCAGCACTGGCAGCAGAGTCGGACAGTGAGGAGGTTGGGGAGGAACATGGGCCAGTCCTGGAGGCTGAGGAAGGCTCGGATGAGGCAGAAGCAGAGACGGGCAGTCTGGCAGTTATCAGCTACCTTCAGAATCAGACAGCAGTGAGGCGGAAGAGCAGCTGGAGCCGGTTTCCAGCCTGCACATGCACAGAGCTGCCAAAAGAGAACAATTACGAACTAAGGGTCCACGTGGGAGTAAAGCCACAAGTGGACGATATATAGACCCTCCCATAGGGATTAAAAGAGGAGCAAAAGGGGAGGAGGCTTTTGCAGGAAACAATTTGTTCGTTGCAGCAGTGTGAAGAGCTGTCTGTGCATCTCAGAGACTCTTGTGCCGAGCCCTTCCTTGTCAGGGCTGCGTTTGAAATTATTCGCTTGGCAGCTCTCCAAGCTAGATAAGGTCTGTGCTCCTAATTACACCCTTGAAAGACTGTTTGCCAGGCCTTTGGCTGAAGGTGAATGCACGAGATTCACCTCCGTTTAATAAAAGGGGTTTTGGGGGAAGCCTCAGTCAGAACACAACTCACCATGGCACTTACGACCATGGCAGCATCCCAGGGTCATATGACTGCCATTTGTAACCTTCCCAACCATCTTCTAGCAAGGAAAGTCAGTGGGGGAAAGCTGGATTTACTTAATGACTGCATGATCCACTTAACAAATGCAGCATTTGACTTAACAATAGGATGAAAAATGTTGTAAAAATTGGGCGTGACTCAGTTAACAAAACGTCTTGCTTAAAAATGGAAAGTCTGTTTCCAATTGTAGTTGTAAGTCAAGGACTACCTACAGATTCAGGTCTTAGTGATTACATAGACATTTCCATTTGGTTTTCTTCACAGCAATGTGGAAGTTGTTTCCCATTTCATTGTTCCATTTTTCCATTTTCCCCATATTTTCCCCCTTTCCTGGAAATGCGTCCCTTATCCATGTGGTAAGGGCTCCAATCAACTTTTCTGATGTCAGCCCAGGTTTATGGGTAGTTCATCCCAGGGTGTCTTTTGACCTCTTTTTTCCTTCCACGCCCTTCCCTTCCCTTGAATCACTCCCAAGAACAGTGATATTTATGAAAAGACAGACCACTATTTTATTTGATTCCTTTTTACAGTTTTTTTTAAAAAGAAAACATATTGTAGATAAAATACTTGAATTTTAAAACAGTCCCAAGTCTAAGAGTTCTGAACCATAATACGGTAATCCCAGTATTTTTTTTTAAAAAAAAATTGAAAATATCCTAAGTATTTGCAATTAAACTTTGCACAAGAGGTTTCATGAGTTCAGCTCAGCAATTAATATGTAAACAAATGGCTCCAAGAGAGCAATGATGCAGATATAATATGCTAGAAAATTGGTAGCTAATTTGCACATAGGTAGTCCTCAACTTACAACCATTTGCATAACCATCATTGGTTGTAACAATGGCACTGAAAAAAGTGACTTGCAACTGGGCCTCACACTTATGACCACGGCAGCATCTCCATAGTTACAAGATCAAAATTCAGATGCTTGGCATGTATTTTATAATGGCTGCAACATCTAAGATTGTGAGATCACCACTCACAGCTGACTTCTGGCTAACAAGGTCAATAGAGATGTCAGATTTGCTTAATAACCACACGATTCGCTGAACGACTGCAGCAATCCACTTCACAATCGTGGCAAAAAAGGTCATAAAATCAGGTGCAATTCACGACCGCCTTGCTGAGTAAAAGAAATTCTTATCCTAATTGTGGTTGTATGTTGAGGACTACCTGTACCTGTTTCCCCTGAGAATCATAGACACGCAGGCCTAACAGAAACACCTGCATTGAACAGAGACACACACACACACGAACACTCCCCACCCTTGTTCGTCAAGTTGCCATTTCTTGGAATTCCTGAATTCTGGTACTAAAAGGCCAGCTGTCTGAAGCACATTGTTCATGCTTGAGGAGTCCAGAAGAAAGAATGGCGGGGAGACAAGGAATGTCATTGCTGATGTCAACTCCCCCACCCCCCAAATACTTTTTATCAATGGAGTGTTACTGTTTTGTTCCTTGTCTTTCTACCTACATCAAGGATAGGTAATTCTCATTCCAAACGTATTTCTGATCCCTTCCAGGACAGCCCAAAATCACACTGCAATCTTCGGGCAACAAATATTATACAAAGGGCAGGATTGTTTCCTTTTAATGACACGCATTTGCTTCTCTTTGACAGTCCAATTCTGCATTTCTCAACCTCAGCAACTTTCAGACACGTGGACTTCAACTCCCAGAATTCCTCAGCCAGCTTAGAATTCTGGGAGTTGAAGTCGTCCATACCTCTTCAAGTTGATAAAGTTGAGAAGCTCAAGCCTAATTGTTTTCCCCCCATGAAAGCAACGAAAAGGCAACACCTTCCAGGTCTCCTGTGAAATTTCCACAGTGAAGTGTGTGCCACACATATTTTTTTAAAATATATACATATCTAGAAGAGGTTTTGTTCATGATGCAAGGATTCGCAATTGTCCACCCATTTTGTAGAAACGAGAAGGCGGCCTCCTTCTCCTCTCCTTCTGCGATGTGACAGATCACAGCATCCCTTCTTGCTCCTCTCTGAAATCCACTGGACGGATCATCATGGTACTTTCTTTGAGGCTGTGTCCAGGCCCCTTCCAGTAGTGCCACTTCATGCCATTGTATCTGATTGTGGCAGGATTGGGAGGGTAATAGATGCCATTCAGGTTAGAAGGTCCACAGGCATCAAACCACCAGCCTGGAGGAGGCAGAGAAGGGGGGGAAAGGAAAAAAATATTTAGGATCGACAGGATTTGGCCCAAACGTCAAAAGAAATTGTTCTCTCAAATTTCTAAGAAATGTTTGCAGAATAGTTTGGATTAAGCAAGTTTTGAATCACATCACTGATTTGTCCCATTGAGTCTCTCTCTCTCGATAGGGGTTAGGAAACAGGTTGATGGGCAGGTGTTTTTGGATGCAACAGACTTCCCCAACCCAGCACAATTCTTTGGCACGTGGGACTACAATTGCCCCAATTCCCAGCCCTCACTGAAGGCGGGAAGACTGGTCTATCTACCATGGGAAATTCTGTGTTGAGTTTTCACCAAATTAGTTGGTGGAACAACAGTGAGAAGGTCTGGAATTCAAGCTTCAAAGTACTTCTCAACTGCTATCTGAGTTCAGGTTGGACACAAGGATGTGGCATTTGGGGCAGAAAGATGGGTTCTGCTTAACATGGGAGAAGGTGATATTCCTTCTTCTCACACTTTCTCCATCCATCATCCTGCTGGCTCCTTCCACCCAGTTGTTATCTAAGAGTGGTCAGTTCTTCTAACAAGCCATTTCAAGGAGGTCCCTTCTTTAGACCAGCTGTTCTGCAGCACATTGTGAAGGCAAGGAGGAAAGATTTGCAGCAACACAAGTTTCCCCTCATGATCTGCTGAATGATGGCTGCTTTGTTCCTCCAAGTGGTAGACAGGACCCAAACAGGATGTTTACACTACTCTAAGCCATGATACAGTGTATCTAAGTTTGGCTTCCGGAAGCAGCATCTGCAGGGGGCTAAAAAATTCAAATTGGCAGTTGGCAGAGTGATGTACAAACTT